AGGAATTTCATTGGTCACTATCTAGGTGGATGCCATGGCTGTGAGACAGAAAGGGATTTCATTGGTCACTATCTAGGTGGATGCTATAGCTGTGAGACAGAAAGGAATTTCATTGGTCACTATCTAGGTGGATGCCATAGCTCTGAGACAGAAAGGGATTTCATTGGTCACTATCTAGGTGGATGCTATAGCTGTGAGACAGATAGGGATTTCATTCGTCACTATCTAGGTAGATGCCATAGCTATGAGACAGATAGGGATTTTATTGGTCACTATCTAGGTGGATGCCATAGCTATGAAACAGATAGGAAATTCATTGGTCACTATCTAGGTGGATGCCATGGCTGTGAGACAGAAAGGGATTTCATTGGTCACTATCTAGGTGGATGCTATAGCTGTGAGACAGAAAGGAATTTCATTGGTCACTATATAGGTGGATGCCATAGTCGTGAGACAGATAGGGATTTCATTGGTCACTATATAGGTGGATGCCATAGCTGTGAGACAGAAGGGGATTTCATTGATCACTATCTAGGTGGATGTCATAGCTGTGAGACAGATAGGGATTTAATTGGTCACTATCTAGGTGGATACCATAGCTGTGAGACAGATAGGGATTTCATTGGTCACTATCAAGGTGAATGCTATAGCTGTGATACAGACAGGGATTTCATTGATCACTATCTAGGTAGATGCCATAGCTGTGATACAGACAGGGATTTCATTGGTCACTATCTAGGTGGATGCCATAGCTATGAGACAGATAGGGATATCATTGGTCACTATCTAGGTGGATGCTATAGCTGTAAGACAGACAGGGATATCATTGGTCACTATCTAGGTGGATGCCATAGCTATGAGACAGATAGGGATATCATTGGTCACTATCTAGGTGGATGCCATAGCTGTAAGACAGATAGGGATTTCATTCACTATCTAGGTGGATGCCATAGCTGTAAGACAGATAGGGATTTTACTGGTCACTATCTAGGTGGGTGTCATAGCTGTAAGACAGATAGGGATTTCATCTAGGTGGATGCCATAGCTGTAAGACAGATAGGGATTTTACTGGTCACTATCTAGGTGGATACCATAGCTGTGATACAGATAGGGATTTCATTGGTCACTATCTAGGTGGATGCCATAGCTGTAAGACAGATAGGGATTTCATTGATCACTATCTAGGTGGATGCTATAGCTGTGATACAGATAGGGATTTCATTGGTCACTATCTAGGTGGATGCCATAGTTGTGAGACAGATAGGGATTTTACTGGTCACTATCTAGGTGGATGGCTTTGAGTTGAAAAAGCTGTTTGTCAATTCAGGCACATAGACATTTTCAAACTTGACAAAATGTCAAACATGCAACTCAACAATGTAGATTTCATTGGTTGGTATCTTGGTACAGTAGATGCAGATAAGTAACAGGAATCCATAGATTTATGGTAAGTTTAACATGAAAGGTTAAACGGTTTGAATTTATAAACTGAACCCTGTGATCAATAGAGCATGTGTGATACAAAAGATATCTTGTCGAAAGCAGCTGTTTCATTTTTTCTCTTCTCTCTCAATTACATCTTGATTTCCAACAAAATAATTGGATGTGTTATATTTCTGAAGGAAAAAGATAAAACGATCATGCCATCTGAGCCTTCCTAGACCAATTACCGTGGACATACCGCAAAAACTTCAACCACCAAAGTACTGAGCTGATTTTCAAAATTGGCTTTTAGAGTTTTGACCTATTACAGAATTGTGCTGTTTTTCTTCAAAATTTCAACCACCTCAGTTTTTTCTTCTTGGAACAATGTTACAACTCTAATTTAGGTTTTAATTTAACTGTTGTTCGAAGAATTAAAACATCTCGCAAATCATTATCTACTACTATAGATGTACACACAAAAATAATTTATTATTCAGTCATGGTTTGATACAATAAAATGTTATTTCCTTGGCAAACCTAAAGCTTGTATTATGGTGAATGACTGTTCACCTTGATTGATTTTGTTTCCACCATGTTTTCTTGATCTAGAGTTGACCTACAATGTGTCCTTTGACCTGATAGGTCAAGAATGCTGTTAACCAATCAAAATACAGTGTGATACTTACGACAATTTTTGAATATTTGTGATCACAATCTAAACTTCTTTATTGTCTAAAGTCGAAGTATGATTTGTTGGCATTGATTTCACTGCACAAGCTGTTTTTAAAAAGGCAATTAGAACTTTTTAAAAATATTGAAATGGTTTTAACAGCAAAGAAAAAATGTTACTTTTTTGACAACAAATGATGAACAATGATAGCATCTAATGTTTTTGTAATCAGTGATTTTCACTTTAAAAATTCAAACAATTCAAATTTCATTTTTTTTTTAATTTTCAAAATTTAAAAGTGGAGGAGATTTTATGATACTTCATGTGTATTTACAAAATTTGTCACAAATCATTTCAATCAATATGGCTACTAATCACAGCTAAGCTTGTTAGCACCTAAACAATTCAGAGAGTTTGTGATCTATTGGCAGTTCTAATTTATAACATAATACGTTGTAGCAAAATATATTAAATATTTTAACCTCCATATTTCTGGTAAAGAGGTACAACCCCTGAAGGTTTGTAAAGATAGATGATGGATGATGTAATGGAGCATATCCTTTGTGGCTCTTATTTCTCATGACTTCATCAATTACTGTCTTCGATCTAGGGAGTCTTTTTTTTTCCTCAGTCAATTAAGTAGTCTGATGATATGAATATCTAAGGGCAAGAATTAATAATTCAGTGGCACCAGTGAAGATGAAATCCTTGGCGACAGTAAATCTGCCTTAGGATGTTGTTACCATAGCAACCAGTTACAGTGATTACTACATATTGTTCCACTGTTTCTAGTCAAGGGTGTGTTTATCTTGAGGCTTTCGTGGTGGGATGTGTACATACAGGTTTATTCACACTAAGAAGATGAGGACGGTGATATTAATCAGAGTTCTGATAAAAATATCAATATCGCTTTAAGCAAATACAGGGATGATCCAAAAAGCAACACCCAAAGAAAGAACTCCTTATCTTCAGTGCAGTTACTCTGTCCAATAGCACACCCCCCCCCCCAACAAATTAATGCTATTTCTTGGTAGCTCTGAATAGGAAAGATATCATGTTCCAATTCATAGCAGCAGTAATTCCCTAAAATAATGCAACAGCTGATTTATTCAAAACACAGTGATTATCGAAGGCCAGACTAAATCATTCTAAGTATGAGAGGTTTCAAGTTTGTATTTTGCATGATTTTATAGTGAGTTCTGAATGCATCACTTTGGTATATGAGATTTGGAATCATAATTTAGGAAATTGTTACATCGATTTTTTCGAATGAGTGCAGAAACATGTGGTGAGTTTGAAAAATAAATTGACTGTGATTTTAGAAAGTAGCATTGCACATCGTTCATCAACTGTTGTTTATAAAATAAAACATTTTTGCAAATAAAAACATTTGCTGTTTATATAACTACAAAAATATTTTTTTTTACCCAGACTCGCAAAAAATTAGGTTATTTTTTTCCCAGTAAAATTAGTATGCATAAGTTGTACATCTTGGATCAAACTAACAATCAAAATGCTGTGCACATACAGAGCTACTAAGTATTGTGTGTCTGACAGGTTAGAAACACGTCTGTCAACATGTACCTGGGAAATGGCTTTTCAGATGCCTACTGCTGGGTTTACGTGACATTATAATAGGAAAGATGACAGCTTTTCTTAAGTCAGAATACTATTAAAGAAATGTTGAATGAGTTCCACAAATCTGTCATAGCTTTGCTTTACACATTCAAAATTTCCCATCACACTCATTCTAGTCAATGTATTTGATGTAGGTATCATAGAGAGATATTCAAAATAACAGACAGTCTTACTGTGAGTGAAAGCAAATGTTCAAAATTTGATAGAAATTTTAAGAAAGAAGAAAAGTCATGGTATATTCTACCATACTCCTACATATTCAATTTATAGCCTAAATAAATATTGTTCTTGATACTTTCAATGGTTTCAATGAACAACACAACTAAATAAGTATATGACTGCATACAAGAATTTGGCAGGTGAAAGTATTATTGACGTCATATGGCAATAAGACTAGTTACAAGTAAAAATCAAACATTTTCAGATTTAGAAAACAGATTGTGAAGATAAAAATTAAGATAGAATTGAAGGAAGTAAACCAGCAAGAATGTCTCACCAGAAAAAAATTGGAAAGAAGGAGAAAAAAGAATTGTATTTTATAGTGTAGATGTACTTATCTTTTGTAGTAGATTTATGGAAACCCAAAAAAAAGAAATTGAAAAAATACTTGAGGGGAACTTCGATTACCTTGATCCTCTGTAGAAGCCACAAAAAAAAGAAAAGAAAAAAACAATAATTAGTGGATTGGTCACAGTTTTGATGTTAAATCATGCATTTTAAAGATCAACGCAGAAAAGACAATTAGTGTAATAGCGGTATTCCAAATGGTTACACAGAGGATTAATATACATTACAGCGTCAGTGGAGGAAATAAGTAATGAATGATTCAACAGCGATGAGAGCTTTCTATCTACATGGCAATTTAGCATGCTGGAATTGTACGTTATGCGGGAGATGTGCTATTAGTGTGTGCATTGCTTTTTTTTTTACATTCATTTAAATCCTAATAGTGTCACGAAGCGTAATTAATATTTTAATATGTTGTGATGTTAGTAGTTAGATTAGCGTTTTTATGTTGGTTTAATTCATTTTAACAGCATGGCTTACATGTATAAAGCAATAACACACTGCCTGACACATGATCAGACAGCATTTAATAGATATTTTGGTTTTACAAAAGCAAAACAAAATCATAAGAATCAGACTGTTCTGTGCGCATATATACAAGAGAAAGTGAATTGTGTGTTATTACTATTATGTGCATATCTGCATTTTTTTATAATGTACATGTAGAAACTTCTGGAAATAAAACAATCATATAAATATAACATTCATTGTACATATATTAATCACACATTCTTCTCAAATATCCAATTAGTTCTACTCCACCCCATCAAAAAATGTTTAAAATTTGAAAAAACGTTATTCCTTCATCATTTTATTGTTTATTTCCGGTGTATATCAGATTACACAACCTATAATACACATGTTACCAGCAGCCATTGCAACATCTGCATCCAGGAAGCTGAGTAAAATCATTAAAATTTGTTTAAAGGGGAGAGGCAGATTTGAATATAAATGATCACAGGCGACATTAAGGGGAAAGATCATAAAAGATTATTAAAAATTTCTATTCAAATAAATTAAGCATTTATCAATACAACATAATAATCTATATTATAACATAGGTGAATTTTAATCAAATGAATTCTTAATGAATTTTTAGAGAATTGATAAAAGAGAATTTTGCATTAATTAAGAGGAAAAATCATAAACAACGGTTATTGTTCTATATATATATTACATTATTTTTGCATTATTAAAATATTATATTAGGAATACCGGTAGTTGGATTGAGCCCCAATTTTTCATTTATGTGAGTTACATGTACATGTACTTCCATTATGTATCAAAGCTGGCAGTCTGAATTCTGAACTGTTAACACCACATACATACGTATAAACTGAGATATCACTATTCTGTTTGTGTGTTCATTATTCACTGAAAAAAAAAAGAACTGCTTCTTATCATTGAAGGGAAATGATGTGCATCATGCTGAAATCATGTAGAGTTAATATAGAAATAATGTACTAATCATGGGTGAATGGCACATGTCATATTAATTTGAGAAGTCTACAAGCATGTCACATGTTGAGTTTTTCAATGATAAAGAGAATACGCAAATGCATCGGTGAGATTCCAATCATCCCAGGCATGTTGGAATAATGGGTTTTCACAACCAAAATAGCTGCCAGTCAAACAAATTGGATCAGACAAGGAATATAAATTGTAAACTTGTCTTTGTTTTGTAACAGAAAAATAGACTAAATAAACTATAGAATGAAATGGCCATCAGACAGCCATTTTATTCACATCACAAAATGAGTACCGTCAGTGACCTGATGGTGGATTTAACTCAGCTACGTCAAGAATCAAAAACACACAAAATATAGCACAGTAAATTATTAAGGTGGTTGAAATAAGCAAGAGTGAATACTATGGTAGTAATAAATAAAGACATAATAAAGCAGTCTGAGCAGAATTCAAATTTTGCACTACTAAGCATTTACTGGACATAAATGAAATGCATTATGGGAAAGAACTTCCATTGTATATTAGAAAACTATTCAAAGGGACAATGTCATTTTTTTTGAAAACTTTTAAAAATATTAGGATTTGTATTACTGATTTTTTTCTTCTGTGTCACCGAGCAAGATTTTGGGATTGGAAAGAATAATCTCACCATAGAAACCTGTGTTAAAATTAAAATATTCTGGCAACCATATTATTTTGCATTTTTCAAATCACTCGAACTCATATTAAAAAGTACATAACAAACATGCATATAATCTTTAATTTGACCCACATACTTTTCTATACTACATGCAGTATAGAAAAAAAATCAGTTTTTATTTGGCAAAATGTAAGTGATGTTAGACGTGATACTGGTATGAGCATGATTTTAAATACCAAGTGAACATATGAAGAATATATATAATATATGCTATCATCAAGGCTTTTCAATGTTTTGGGGAAAAAAAGGTTTTAATGAATGTCTAGGAAATGGCTCATAATACACTGATAGTCTGCATACATGGAACCCAAAATCCCGGTTTTACAGAATTCATCCAAACAGGAACCAATTAAATAGGGTTGGGTTTCACTGGTCATTGACAAGTACCTACAATGTCATTATTAAATGTTTTCCACAAAATTATTTTTAAATGGCATGGTTTTATGTATCAAGAAACAAGTCAGGCATTAATGTGACTACTGTACCTATTTATGAACAGTCAACATCCCAGGGCTAGACACTAATGATATTTCTATTGCCGACACAAGTCAAATTACCATTCCTATAGTAACTTATATACTTGCATTATTAGAATTTATATAATATATATATAGGCAACATACATTTCTGACAAATGCATCCTTCAATCTGAATAATGGTAAAATTATACAAATGTTCACCACAAAAATGTTGGACATACAGTTTTATAGCGATTGATCTGACGAGTTCATCAACAATGATTCCAAATTGATAGCGTTTGCATGTTTATCGTTTGCACACTTCAAACGCCAAATGCCTTTTTACCTTGATAGTTTTATAAACCTATAAGACAATCTCACCAGGTTCAACTCGATGGAGAACTATTTTTACAAACACCACATACAAATGATCAAACTTTTGAAACTCAAAACAATGATACCAAATCAACTGATGCTTTATACAGAGTATTTGCACAAGCACACATCCAATGTCTCATAGTTGGCCATGCAATCAAAACTTGCAGCATTGAGGTAGACTAAAAATAAAGCTGAATAGCTGCAAATTCATATTTTTCTGTCCAATAAGATGGATTATTAAACCAAGCGTTATGTTTCATAAATATTGATGCACAACAACCCTCTTGATAAGAAATTGCATAACACCTGGAAGAAGGTTCCAGAATGGAGGTAGGAAGATAATGGAAAACGTCTAACTTTAATGTGTAAATCTAATTGGCTATCATTACTATGAGTCAACAAAAAATGGCTATCATATGTATGGGAAGAAAACACTGAAAACATTATTAGCACGTAGACATGCAAGACTTAATGTACCATAAAACAAGGCAGGCAGTCTGTGAACCGCCAGCATCATCCTGTCTCGGCACATCCTGTACGAAGGATGATCATATCAAAAAAAAAAGCTACCATGTCTGGCAAGAAACACTTTATAGACATAGTGAATATTACATGTGAAACATGAGACACTTAAAGCATTATTGCATTCAATGCGATCTCAAAGGAACCTTAATGTTTCAGAAGTAAATTACACTTGAGATTTTACTGTTCCACTTGTAGTTTTATCATGTACAGTAAATTACATTGTACAGGGTTGATACACAATTAAGTGTATATTATCCCATATTCCAATGACACATAAACTCATCTGTTTTCCTGTACCAATTTAAGCATGTGTTAGGATATGTCAATCAGATTAAAGGATCACTCCTTGTTTGCTTTCATGGGCTCAAATTGAAATTTAAAGAAAATTTGGAAGTCCAATTGAAAACAATTCCATGAAATCAAGTCTCAAAAAACTTGCATGAATGGAGTAAGGAATTCAAATCGACAGATAATTCTCGGTCAAAGTGAACTATAAAAATGATTCATTTTTTCTTTGTTACAAACTTTTGCCTGAACTCAAATTGTACATGTACGTTGTACTGCCATGGACATATTATTATCGGTATTGTACAAATCTTACAGTAAGTATCACACCTATGAGTAAATGAACAAGATAACTTACATAAAGTACAGACTTCGGTATTTGGACATGATACATGTATCATACAGTCGTACATAAATACCGAAAAAGCAAGGCAAATATTATCAACTACGCGACCAGAGTAATATGCATGTTGCATTGACTGAGCGTGTAATGACTTTGCGATGTTTTGGGGCAGATGAACATTAAAAGCACTGCCTCCTTTACATGTAATAGGAATAAACATTTACCCAAAATACACCACAATCAGCCAGGGGATTATGTGAACAATCCTCTTCCCTGAACCAGTACGAGACTAAGAGTTAAACAAATAAATTATTAAAAAGCCTGCGAGCAGATATCCAGCGTCTGATGACATATACGAGTGGGTACCCTTAATGTGCAATGATGCATAATCATATACAAAAATCAAAGTTTTGAATAACTTATATTTTTTTTCAATTAATGGATTCATTTCTCAAAATTTAGCTTAGAGTACTACATTTTCATAAGAAGCAATTACACCATACCATCAACATCATTAAGATTCATGAGCATTTATATGGATGCAGTCTGAAGACAGGATTCTCCTTCCCAAACTGTCAATGTAATTTAAATGTCCAGTATCATTAGCACAAGTAATGTCATAACTGACTTCCTGACTCAATTGGTGCATAGAAATCTGTTAAAGCATCTCCACTTCTATTGAGACAATAACATCAAAAAAATGCTTGCTGACGCTTTTTTTCCCCTTGATTTTGTTATTACTATAGAGGCTTTCAGTAGGAAATAGCAAATATTTTCTTCTTTGTAAGGAAATTCTGTTGCTATTTTGAGTAAATGTTTTTATAATAAAAACAAGATAGAAATGTAGCAACACAGTGGTGCAATAGAAGTAGCATATTTTTTCTATTAGTCGCGTAAATTTCAGAGGCATTAG